TGGGTTTTTCAGCAAGCCATTGGGATCAAAAAATATTTTTGGTCGCAGTGGTTCAGCTACTCCACGCTGACGAGCGCCAAAAAGCGCGAAACGCGTAAGTGGATGGCTTTTCTTGATTTATCAAGAATTGGGTCGGCCAAATATCAGGGTACAGGCTAAATCAATATAAAATAAAAGGATTTAAAAGCGCGAATGTTTCCTTTATACATAAAACGAACTTCTACTGTCCTTACTGCGAATAAAAAATATATTGGGAGGGCTTGGCTCATCAGTGGTGAACCCTCAGCGGTTTCGCCAATTTTCCACCAGACGGCTTCTCAGAGTCTAATATTGTATTGGATCATTCTGCTTTTTATGCTACACTGAAGGATGGAATCTTAGAAATGGTTTCAAGTAAACTATGGACATAAGCTTATAGGACAGTTAGAACGACCATCCGTGACAGAGGCGGCCTATGACTGATTGATTAGGATTAGGATATGCATTTTATTTAAGGGCGCCAATTTAATATGTAACAAATAGTATTTGAAATAAAAACATTCATCGGGTTAAAACAACGGGCGTTGCACCGAATCAATCGGCTAGTATTTTTAGATATTTTATTAAATTAATATTCCAACAGGTACTAAGACACATCACAGTTAAGCATGACAAATCAACAACCATCTCCTTTAAGCCATGCCAACTGATAGCGAATCATCAGAGAGTATGTGGAAGTATCTCCACCAATGAGTGTCGAGAGAGTTAATGACGATGATCTCGGACAAGAAGTAAAAGGAAGGTAAGTGACCGTGCTAGAAGCAAGGTGTGCTCAATCATAGGCTTCAATCGGTAGAGTCCGCTCCATCATGTGAAAGGCAAAGTACCCCTCCAAGTCTCATAACTCTACCTTTCGCAAGGTCTATTTTCTATCCCATTGGCGAAACCGCTGGGAGGGTTCACCATGATGAGCCAAGCCTCCCCAATTATTTTTTCATCGCAGTAAGGACAGTAGAAGTTCGTTTTATGTATAAAGGAAACATTCGCGCTTTTAAATCCTTTTATTTTATATTTATAGAAGGCTAAATCAATGTTTAGTTGTTTTCTGTTCCACCAGATGGGGCTCTCTCCTTCTGTAATAAAGCACATGTGCATCCGGGTCAGGAAAATGCCATTTTTAATATACATTATATTATAGTCACGACCGTCTTTCCTCATCGGCCTTTGTCACGGATTGGCGCGCACAGGGAGGTCACGTGCTCGCCGGAGCCATAAAAAATTAAAAAAAAAACTCTAGAGCCGGATTTGAACCAGCAACCAAGGGTCACCGTTTGTAACATCTTACAGTCCTCCGCTCTGCCAACTGAGCTATCGAGGGATACAAACTGTTATGATAATGTTTACCTTATAAAGTCAACAATCCTATTTCTACAAATATATTATATATATATATAGTGCGAGAGTCTTTCTGATCAGTCAGTCATTGGCCGGCCGCCTCTGTCACGGATGCGCGCGCACAGGGACGGTCACGTGCTCGCGGCAGCCAACGGCGCGCGCCGCCGGCAGGGGGGGGGCCATTACGTCACTCAAGGTCACCTACGCGCCAACGAGACACGTGATCGTAGCCGTCCAATAAGAGGGCGCCGACCATCGTGACAGAGGCGGCCTATGACTGATTGATTAGGAATTAGGATATGCATTTATTTAAGGCGCCAATTTATAATTGTAACAATTGTATTTGAATAAAAAAATTCACAATCGGTGTAAAACTCGGGCGTTGCCCGGGTCATCGGCCTAGTTATTATATTTTATTAAATTAAATATTCCATCAAGGTACGAAGCCAATCACAGTTAAGCATGGACAAATCAACAACCATTCACCTTTAAGCATGACCAACTGATAGCGAATCATCAGAGAGTAGTGGGAAGTATCTCACCAATGAGATGTCGGAGAGTTAATGACGATGATCTCGGACAAGAAGTAAAAGGAAGGTAAGTGACCGTGCTATGAAGCAAGGTGTGCTCAACATAGGCTCCAACCAATAGGTAGAGTCCGCTCCATCATGTGAAAGGCAAAGTACCCCCTCCAGTCTCATCACTCTACCTTTCGCAAGGTCTATTTTCTATCCCATCCAGGTATGCTCGTTCTTCTCCTGTGGAAAACCACCATTCGACTAAGACTGCGCCATCAATCACCAATCCAATCAAATCCACCCAACCACACAATTCACCAATTCAACATAATCCGACATAGGATTCAACAACTCACCAGGACTCACCAGGATCCAAACCAAATAATATAGTTAGTCGACAGGATTCACACACGATCCGACAGAGATTCGACAAGATCTTACATAACTCAATGATTCGACAGAGAGTCGACAGGATCAACCACCGATCATATTATAGAGAGTCGACAGGATCCAACACGACCCGACAGAGAGTCGACAGGATTCACAACGGTTGTTACAGTGAGTCGACAGGATATGATGGAAAACGAGTGAGAACAAGACGCGAAAGAGGAGAGCGGAGAGGCCACTTCCGTGCCCGAAATAGAACCACCACGCACCCTGGGGAGATTCTCCTGCAGCTTACGACGATGCTGACGGAGCTGCGGCCGACTCAACACGCGGAAGCGGACATCCCCCCCCTTCGATGGAACCTACGGCACCCATCAATTCTTCCAGGCCTATGACCGGAAGATGGACGAAGCCCTCGTAACCACCCCCGAAAAGTTGCTCAGGTTGCCTAGTTACCTGACGCGCCAATCCCTGGAGCTCTTCAGGAAACACTGAATGGCCACCCAGACCTACCTCCAAGTGAGACAAACCCTCCTGGACCTCTACCCGGAATCAAACGAGGCGTCCTTCGCCAAGTACTTCGCCCTGAAGCTTGCTGGGCAGGCAAGCCTGGAGGAGTACTACCGAGGGAAGACAGCTCTGGGCATGCAACTGGGACTCCCACAGGAGGTAATCCTCGAGACGCTGACGGAGGGATTGCCGCTCTCCGACCAGCGCCTTGTCTTCGTGGTACCTCCTGAGAGCCTGGAAAAGTGGTACCAACTGGTGCAACGGATCAGCGGAACCAACGCACCAACTTCGCGTCACCACGAGGAACAACCGCCCAACATGTCGGGCCCATACACCAGCACACCAAGAAGAAAAGGCGCGTGGACTGCACCTGCACCGCCGTCGAACTGCAAATTCTGCGGCGCCCATCACTGGCACTCTGAGTGCCGCCACAAACCAGCTCGACTAGCGAGCGCGCGGGCAGTGCGCCCCGTCCAACATCCCAACAAGCCCAAGCCGGACAAGCCGCCCGAGACGCCCCAGCCTTTCGTCAGCCAGGTAGGAAGGCCCCGTCTTTTCGTCAGCCATCGACGATTAAACTGTCCATCACCCATGAACTCTCACCCCCTTTCCTAATTTACACAGGCACAAGCTTGAACATAGTGCCCCATAACTTCTATAAAAGTTTAAAATTTAACCTCCCTCAACTACAGCTTAAAAAACAACCCATAGACCTTCAGGACATAAACGGTCCTGGTACCGACCTTAGATCGAATAACCCTCCCCCTGACAATAGGTAACATAACCAAAAACGAAATTTCCATGTGGTGGAAGCACCTCTACAATTTGGGATTCTCGGTATAAATACTCTCCGCAACTTCAAAATGACAATATATTTTAACCAAGGCACTATGTTTCTACTCGCCGCCCCATTGCACCCTACCACCTACCATTTTACTCATATGCCAAATAAATGCGCCTATTGGGAATGCCAAGCGGAGTCACAAAGGGCTCACATGGCACACAAACCTTCCGCACACGGCACCCAATATGCGCATCCATTGGTCAAAAACCATTTGCCGCCATGCCAATCTAGATCACGTCACGCGCACGCACACCTTTTCACCAGGGCCAATTGCCCTTACTATAACCCTCTATGCACAAGGCCACTATGGCCCAAAATACCCGCACAAATGTCCAAACATTGCCAGTCCAACTGGACAACCCTCACGTTATGTACACACGTGACCACACACCACTACACCACCATCACACGCGTGTACATGACAACAGTCGCGACACTCACACTAAAACACAATAAAAACATCTCCCAGACATATGCGACATCACGACACAAAGTCCTCACTACCCACCTCACTTTCCCACACTTTTACAACGGTACAACCACATATTTACACAAAAAAAAAATTCGCCGTACCATGCCTAAAAATCCCACAGGTAAAAATACCCACAAACTCCAACAAAATCATCACCATACGCCCATATCGTGTTCCGATGCGACCAACAGGAAATCCGCAGTCAGGTCCAACAAATGCTAGAAAACGGCATTATAAAGGAGTCGTTTTCACCTTTCTCTAGCCCAGTCACTCTCGTCACCAAGCGCGACAAGACCAAAAGGTTTTGCATTGACTATAGAAAGGTAAACGAACTTATCAGCTCCGATGTCCATCCGCACCAAGGAGAATCGAGGATATACTCGAACCTCTCTCACGGGCCAAGTATTTCTCAACTGCCGACATATCCTCCGCATATTGGCAAGTGCCGATACACCCGATTCTCGACCTCTGTTGGCCTTTGCCACGCTCTAGGGGTTATATCAGCCCACTCGATTGCCTTTCGGGCTGAAAACCAGCCCTCAGATCTACGAAAGAGCCATGAGTCAAATCCTACAGAGGCACGGACTTGACTGTGTGGCCCATTATTTCGATGACTTCATCATTTTCTCCAACACGCTGGAGGAACATCAAAACCATCTGCGCCGATTTTCGCATTTTGCGAGGTAGAAAAATTACAACTCAACTTCGCAAAATGGGAATTTTTTAAGCAGTCCATAAATTTCCTAGGATACACCATCACTGCTGGTACCGCCACACCACTCACACGCAACACAGACATCATCCACGCTATCCAACAACCACACAACCGCAAAACATTGCAATCCTTCTTAGGCGCTGTGAACGTTTATAACAAGTTCATTCCGGACTACGCCCGCTTGCGGACGACCCTTAACAACCTTCTCAAAAAGGATGTCACGTGGGTCTGGGATGACAAATGCCAGAAAGCGTTCACTAGCCTGAAGGAAAGCCTCACCACACACCTCATCTTACACCTTTATCAGGAAGGTCTGCCATGTCAGGTGTACTGTGACGCTTTAACACTCGGCATGGCAGGCAACCTCAAACAGGTCCACCCTGATGGAAAGACCTATCCAGTCCAATACTTAAGCCGCGCCTTACGTTCACAAACGGAATTACTCCATCTCTCAATTAGAATGCCTAGCAATCGTTTGAGAGTGTGGATAAATTCCGCGTCTATTTGATGGGCAGAAAATTTACCATATTTTCTGACCATCACGCATTGCAATGGCTGAAGACGATCAAAAACCCGTCAGGCAGATTATTTCGATGGAGCTTGCAATTATCGAGCTACGAATATGAGGTTCGTTACATAAAAGGAGCACAACAAAATGAAGCGGATCTCCTATCTCGTAACCCGTTCTGTGGCTTCTTAGACGCCCCCCTCATTAAGAGCCATCAGTCTTCCCTGTCTGGAGATTATAAACTGACCATTGATCACAACGGACTTCATACCATTTCCCGCAAAGGTGTAACTGAAATAGTAATCCCAAAAACACTCACCAACGAACTACTTTAATCAGTACACACACAATACAATCAACAGGCATCTCACAGATGACGAGACTCATCTCCGCTCAATATTATTCACAGGACATGTCACAAGATATTGCACAAAAGGTCAAACGTGTCCAACCTGCCAATTGACAAAGCGTATCGATAGCTCCAACCAACCTCTCCAAAGAGACACCGATACAGTCCATGTAAACAAACTTAAACTATACACAGAAAACATACAATACATAACACCACCCACAACAATGCAGGCCCGACTGGCGAGATTCGTCTGGGGACAGGACCACACGGCGTGGCTTCCCGCCGATGTCATGGCGAGGCCAGTTGCCATCGGAGGCCTCGGTCTCCTCGACCTCGCGACCCAGCTCCAGCTCGCCTGCCTCAAGGGGGTGCAGGTCGCGCTCCGCGGGGGCAGAATGCCTTCAGCTGGCTGGTCGGCGGCAACAGCGGGGAAGCCTGGATCCACCCTCCACCGGACGGCACCCGTCTCCAGCCCCGCCGTCTCCGGCTGCTGAAGCTGTGGGAGGAGGCCTCCAACATCCTGGGCCTCAACCACCGGGCGCTCCCCACGGCTCAGCTGCTGGACCTCCCATCATCGGCGGCTGCCGGTTCCTCCGCCCTCCCGACCTCCGGGACCCATCGTGGAGGAACATCTCATCGCCCGCCCAACGCGCTCGGCCCTGGCTGACGCCCCGCGA